TTCAGATTGCTTTTTAACCGTCTATCGAAGTTAAACATTAATTGCCGCTACTGCTACTGCTACTGCTACTGCTGTTCCCTTTTACTCATACGCAAGTAGTAATCAGGTGGAGAAGAAAGCAAGGTAGAGGGGAGAGGGAGTTAAGAAAAAAAAAAGATAGGGAGAGATAGAGAGAGAGAAATAATGAGGGGAAAAAAATATCTGGAGGAGGAGGAGGAAGAGGCGGAGGAGGAGAAGGAGGAGGAGGTGGTGGAGGAGGTGGGGGAAGGAACGTCTTAGGTGGAAAAAAGAAAGGTAGATGTAAGAGAAAAGAGTGAGAGCTATAAGGAGAGGTGTACGAGTATAGTACCCCTTTTTTGCATCCAACAAAATACGAATACCGAGCACTCTCGAGAAAGAGTGAGTGAGAAAAAGAGAAAGAAACAGAGAGAGAGAGAAAGAGATGGATGGTCATGGGGGGCGGAGGAGAGAGAGAGAGAGACAGAGTGATAGATAATGACGAAGGGGGGGAGAGAAAGGGAATGCATGATAGAGTAGGAAAGAGAGAGGAAAGAGGAAGAGAAGAAACGCGCGCGTGTGTGTGTATGTGTTAGAGAGAGAGAGAGAGAGAGAGGGAGAGAGGGAAAGAAAGAGAGATGGAAGAACAACAGTAATGGTGGGGTATTTCCAGTGGTACCGTCGTGTTCTAAGAGTAGGTCAGTATACCACATTAACCGGTATTCCAATGTAGTAGGGGGGCGGGAGGTGGGGGGGCTTCCGACTCGTCAGTTCCGCAAGCGTGTCTATACATACCGCGAACCTCGTCCATGGCCGTCCACGGTCGCCTTCTTCTTCTTTTTCTTCGTTTTCTTCTTCTACTTCTTCTACTTCTTCTTCTTCTTCTTCTTCGTCTTCGTCTCTCTCCCTCGATCGAAAGAAATATCGAAATGAAAAATCTCGTGGGTGGGTGTATTTGATGAATATATCTATATGTAAATATATATATTTTACATAGATAGTATATTGTATTTGATTCAAATGTGTTTTATGCGTTTTTAGAGAATGACTTTTGTATTACATTTCGAATGATTCCCATTATCGGTCGGATCTTTTTTTCCTTATTTTTTTTTTTTTTTTTTATTTTATTTGTTTGTTTGTCAGTGAAATTACGGTAAAATCATGCAAAAAGGGATGGTGGTAGGATGTAAATCAATGTTCAGGAATTTTGTTGAGAAAATAATTGTAACGAATGAAAAGAAAATATTTGAATTGTACATATCTATTTATACATATGAGAATTATCGTTAAATATTATAATATAATATTTGAGATAGAAAAATGAATTTAGAGAATTTTATATATATATATATATATATATATAAATATAAAATATTGATGTTTGTTCGAAAAAACGAAATAATTGCTATCTGATGTTATTTTATATTCAACGCGAATGAATTTAAAATCCTTGTAAATAATATATGTGATTGATGAGAAAATATTTTTTTTATTTTTTTTTTTAAATGGACGGAATTTAATTTTGATTATAATCGAATATATTTTTAGATAGTTTTTTGTTTCATTACCTATTATAATTTATTCTATATTTAATGAAACGATATGGAAGCCATACGTTTATAATATCTATAAAAATCTTGTGGATTAGGTATATTATACGTTGTATTAGCAATTTGAAGAAAGAGACTTTTACCTCCACCTTGCCCTCATCTTCTTTAACCTTTACCTTAATGGCTGACGCACTTTCTCCACGGGTAGAGCGGTACCAGGTCTCTCCTGTGAATCGCGTACATCATACGCGTTAACCGCTCTGCATTTTGATGACGACGATTGGAACGAATACCGGAGCAGCAGCAGTATTTCTTCGTTTCAACAGGAACTCGTTTGTTATTCATTATTATTATTATTATTATTATTATATCGTTGAACGTTTAATATTCTATATTCGCGTTATCTATACGTTAATAAATTAATATCCAAAAATATATAAAATATCCCTTTCTCATTAAATATATTTCTCTCTTATAGAGCAGTAATTTAATAATAATAATAAAAAAAAAAATTTGATCGATCTTCTACAAAAAGGTAATTTATTTTGAACGATAATACGCGTACCATGCCCACATATGAGTGAAAAAAAGATGTTTCCGCTTAATGAAGTCTCGAAATATATTCGAGTTCGTCGAAATATACCGCTACAATAGATAAAAGATAATACCCTCATTTAAAACAACAACTATCTGAAAATGAATAAACGCGAAAGTCTCAACGGGTTATGTTAGATAGGTATTTAACGTTTAACTGTAATTTAATTGCATTCCATTAATGATCCATGGAATTTCATATCATTTTGCTTATATCATTTAGAAACATACTTATTATCTCGATCTATCGATTCGAATTTTTTCTTTATTTGTAAAGACGAAACGTCAACTACAATAGAGGTTCCTATTCTTTGGTTTTATTTATGTAGGTCGTAGCGGGGAACCGCGATCCGCACGCGCGCCATTTTTCGTAACGAAAAGGAAAGCCCCCGCGCTGATGATGCGCTCGTGTATGCGCATCTAGCAAAATCCAACTGGTTTTGCGTGGATCTCCTTTTCGTCTGGTGGACTCCGTAACGGTTTTTCGACCTACTTTTGAATTCCTCCGCTATTATATAGCGATATAGTTTTAGCTTATAACTCCTACAGAGAGAGAAGTAGAAGAAACAAGTGTTTCAATTCCGCTATGTAAGAAGATTGTCTGTCTGTTCTCTTTTAAGTTGACAGCATCAACTTAAGTGAAATTGAGATATCGATTTAAAAGTCAATTTTAACATAGATAACACGTTTATATCTATCTTACATTGTCTTGTAACGATCTATTGTAACGATCGATCTATGTAGGTCATTCGAGGAGACACGTTTCATTTTTCGCGATGAAAAGGAAAGGCATCCCGAGCAAAATCTAGTCGATTTGCGTAGGCTTTAACCAAGCACCGAGCCGTAACGGTGTTCCGACCCACATTTCTTCCTCGCTATATAATACACTGCATGTCCTACCGGTAAGTATCGTTTCGGCTCGTACAGGATCAACCAAGTAAGATGATCATTTGTTAGAAGAACTCGCGAACAACTCGGAGAAATGCTTCCTACGAACATGGGATCCTACGTTCGTTTAATTAACAATTCATTTGTTCTATAATTATATTAATTATGTCTGAAATATTTTAGACTTTGTTTTATTTAATATTTTTAGAAAAATATTTTATTTGAAAAAAAAAAAGAAAAAGAGAGAGAGAAATCAATCAATCGTTTACATATTCATACGACCCAGACGTGAATTCACCTGAGTTATTAAATGATATTTTCAGAAAGAAAAAAAAGAGAGATAGAAAAAATTGAAATAACAAAATCGTCGAAAATATTAACGAGATATGGTTGTAAAGTTAGAATTGAAACTGTAAAACCCCGATGATGATAGGGCCCCCGAGGAGCAAGCAAAATCGATACGGCTGAATTCGTTGCAGGCACGGATACTCGGTGATCCCATTGATAAGTGGCTCATCGAGACATTGTCGTAGGCCCGAAAAAGTGGGCCCACGTCGGACTGTGGCACCTTTTCTCCTTCTCTTCGGTTACCCGTTCTATAAGCTCTCGCGAATTTGTTCCGTTTGCCCCACTCAGCGAGAGAACTCGGGTTCTTCCTTCAACAACGACATCCACGCCATTGGATAACGGTACGCGGTGAACACGTCACGGCTCGACGAGAGTTCCTTCCCTCTCTCTCTCTCTCACTCTCCGGTCCGAGTTCCCCTGATTTCCCCTCAATTCCCTCTCTTGGTTGAACATCGCGCACCTCCAGCATGAGTCTACGACCGCCTCTACCATCACCTGACAAGGACGGACTCTAAACGACGACAAGGACGGACTGTTCTCCTCCTCCTGCTTGCCTGCCTGCCTATTTGCCGTTTTATATTTGTTGTCCGAGAGTAATGCTGAGAGAGTAATGCTGGGAGAGTAGAGAGAGAGAGAGAGAGAGAGAGAGAGAGAGAGAGAGAGAGAGAGAGAGAGAGAGCGGGAATATGGACTCGAAACATTTGTATGATTCTCACATGACGTGCCGGTACGGCCACGCGGATATGTCGATCGAGTGAGACCGCCGAAACGCTTGAGAAAAGAATACACAACAAACAAAGAAAGAAAGAAAAGAAAAAAAAGAAGAAGAAGAAGAAATAAAGACGGAAGATCTCTTTCGCAGTTTATTCATGACAGGAAGAGAAGAATTTCGAGTACTCGATCGGCAATTTGCGATTTGATTTGAAATCCGTTCACCTGCTCTCCCGGACTGGCTCATCTTCTTATTATTTTTCTTCTTTTTTTTTTTGTAAAAGAAGATTGCGTGTAAATGACGATTAAAGAACACCTCAGCCGGATGTGCGTGTGCCGCGTATCGAAATTTAAGTTAAATTAACGATCTCCGAATGTTACCCAATCGTCGTCGTCGTTTTTAGACGACGACGACGACGACCCACGTTGACAACGATTAATATCAAACTTCCGTGTGGCACACCGTGCAAAAATGTATTTTTTTTTAAAGGCGGCAATTTGGTCGGCCGAGTGTACTCGGCCGTGGCTGGCTAGCGTGCCACTAACCTAGTTAACGGGAGCAAGTCTTTCTTTTCGAGAGAAGTGGTATCTGCCTACCCAGCCTAACGAACGTGTGTACGTGTAAGCGTCAACCTACCACAGAGTTACTTACTTACCTACCTACCTACCTATCAACCTAGCTACTGTACAACCACCGGCATCGGTACCGAACACGAGAGCGTGCTACATGTTTCGTTCACTGGCTCGAAATCTCGAAATATTTTTCGCTTTTCTTCACTTCGATGGCCAGTTCGCGCTCGAATTTTAATTAAAATTTCGCTAAAATTATTAGAATCGCGATAAAAAAAAAAAAAAAAAAAAAAAAAAGAAAAAAAGGATCACATTCGAATCGAATTTTATTTGGTGTTACAGGTCCCCGCGGTGCCGTTGGCGGTTGCAGCACCCCCGGCAGTAGAGTGGATCCCTGGTGGAATTCTGGTCCCCTCTTCCCCTCGCCACCTGGTCCCCCGAGGATCGACGAGGGGCTAGCGGATAATTTCACTAGCGGCTTTCAGTTCTGCGTACCATCGGGAAGCCGGAATAATTCTAACGTATATCACAATCAATCTTATCAACAACAGGAACAACATCAACCGCAACAGCAACATCAGCAGCAACAGCAACAGCAACACCACCACCAACAACAACAACAACAACTGCATCACCGGCAATATCAAGTTAATAGAAACACGTGTTCGAGTTACGGTATCGCATCAACATCGTCCTCTGTGTGTTCCACGTCGGGCCTCGGTCACACGCAAAACAGGCGAGGAGCCGATGCCGTAGGCTCCAGCAGCTCGAACATCGCGTACGGCATTAATTCCTCGTCGCCGGAAACCTCGTCCACCTTTAGAAATAATAATAATAATAATAATAATAGTAATAATAATAATAATAACAATAACAGTAACTTGGTACTCGCGGCGCTTCTTGCGCCGACATCGGTGATTGGTTGCGCCGATCGTTTGTCCAACTGCGAAATTTCGGTAAGTCACGGGAACGTAATCGGATCAATCAACAATACGACGACTAATTCAACGACGGCCGAATCGTTGAACGGCGTATACTCGCCTCTTACCTTGACGAGGAGAACGGAAGAATCCTCGCGAGTTCGTTCGGAGGAAGTGAGTAACGCATCGTTATCGTCCGCGTCGGATTCTCTCTCGACTTTCTCGACTTCGAATTTAAACACGTCTTTATTAAGTTCCTTACTTTCGACCTCGAGTATATCCTCGTCGCCTTGTAGAGGCGATAACAACGAGGAGGAACTTATAACGAGAACTTGTATGAGGCTGGAAGAGGATCAACAATCACGTGAACAAAATCCGGTTCACGATAAAATTGAATATACTTTGGCACAAGTCTCGCAGGAATCATTGGGAAGCGAAGAAAACGAGGATTTGACCGTCGCGTTGCCTTACGAAATCATCGCCGCTGGACGGAGACAAGTGAGAATTCCGAGTGGGTCATCTGTTATCTCTCCATCTGGAGATATTGTTCTCGATATGAAATACGAAACGCAGACAGGTCCTTCAACGGTACCACCCCATTTGACGTCGACCGGTGTTGAGCCACCTCACAGTAGTCAGGGAAGTGGTATTATCGGTGGTTCGGAAGCCGAAGAGGTCGGCGTAGATAATCTCCTCTTGTCATCGTGGGGCGCTACCGGCTCGGATTATCTCGAATCATCAGATATAAAACAAAATACGGTTGGACTACAAGACAGTTGGGATACATTACTTTTGGGAACTACGGTCGAGGTAACATCTGTACAATCTTTGGCAGAACTCAAACCTTTACCACCATTCACTGGATACACTGGACACCTTAGCATTAATGGAATATCTGGCCACCATTATCACACGATCGCCTCGTCGGGTCAAAGGTCGTCTTTACCTTCTTCATCACCGACACCTTCCTCCAATCAAGAGTATTACGAGTCATCCGTTGTTTCCTCCAGTACACCTTGCCCTCAAGCCACTCAGAAACAGCAGCAACAACAACAACAACAACAACAACAACAACAACAACAGCAACACCAACAATCACAACATCAACAATCACAATCACAACAGCATCATCAACAACACCAACATCAACACCATCATCAACATCATCATCAACAGCAGCAGCAGCAGCAGCAACAACAGCAACAACTTCAACACCAACATCAACAGCAGCAACAGCAGCAGCAGCAAGTGCAACAACAGCAACAACAACAACAACAGCAGCAACATCAGCAACAATTATCTCAGTCGACGCAACAGGTGGAATACGATATCGATGATATAGCGGAGATTATTGGATCAGCGATAGCGGATACGACAACAGTACCTGATGAAGGAGAGAACGGCGAACAAGCTCCTCCTTCCCAGACCCAAACTCAAACTCAACCTCAGACCCAGAATCAGAACCAAGCCCAGTCTCAATCAGGGACCGAGGAACAGCCCATAACTGATATTTCCAAAGATTGGATCGACATCGCAGATTGGATACAATCCGTTTCACCTAAGGCGCAAGTTCCAGCCGGTTGTGCGCAAATTTACGCATCAACCCCGGCCACGACGCAAATTCAACAACAAGCTTCGACCCTTCAGAGCTTGCTAACTCACGCATATTCGCCGCTTCTTCATGCCAGGTTACAATCTGGAAATCCTGGCATGCAAAATGCGTCTTGCGGCGAGACACCTTCGTCAACGAGTCCATTTCCGCCTGTCAGTCCACCCGGGAGAGTTTCAACGTCGTGCAGTCCTGACCTCCTCCATTCCTCTTTCGCGGCACCGTCACATCCGCGAAAGAGGTCACGACCTGGACCGGGTTCTCAAAATACTTCGAAGAAGAATCTAGCTTCGAGCACGGGGGCGTTAACTTACGGCTCGGAATCGGGTTTGATCGGTGGCAAAGAAAAACCCGTACACAGGTGTTCGATTTGTAATCGTGGCTTCCTCAACAAGAGTAATATAAAGGTACACCTAAGGACGCACACGGGAGAAAAACCATTCAGGTGCGATGTTTGTGGTAAAGCTTTCAGGCAAAAGGCCCATCTGATTAAACACCAACAGATTCACAAACGAATTGGAAGGGATTAAGATTAAAAAAAAAATAAAAAATAAATAAAAAAAAACAAAAGGACGATTATAAGCACCATTGAATATGTTTCCGTTCAACTGAAGTACCTATTATTTGTTCTTACGTACCTATGAATGCTAAGTCGATGTTGGCAAAGTGTAATACCGTCAGGAACTTACAAACAGATTTTATCAGCTCGTACTTCGTCGATTGGTAATACTTATTAAATACTGGACCGATGATAACAGTGATGGCACTAATCAATAACTCTGTAAGACTACGACAAAAACTGTGTTTCATATTTATCGAATTTTTTTTTTTGTTTTAAATCGACCAATGGCAATCAGTTTTTTAGAGAAACGACGAACAAAACGATACCCGAATCTCGTTACGAAAGTATCAGAGATTCCTACGATCGAAATTCGAAAAGACTCGAATCGAAAAATTCAGACGATCTCTATTTTTCTATTTCTGTCTTTTTTTCTTTTTTTTTTTTTTTTTCCCCTAATATCTCACTTTCATTTTACATTACTTTTTTTTTCTGTCCGTATCTTTCGTCTATTGGCAAAGTGAGTGATATTTCTGTTGTGAAGTAACGTGTAAATAATTGCGATTTTTATTAGCATTTAAATTACGTATGTAAGATTTTTTTAAGTTTAGTTAAGTAACTGATAAGAGTGTAGTATATATGTGTATATATATATATATTTATAATATATNATATATATATATATATATATATACCTGTTTGGATATATTTCTATGCGTATGTATGGATGGATGTGTATGTGTTCGATCTCGTCTTGACTTCTAGCTATTAGTATCACGAAGGTTCGTTGAATATTCGGCATTCATCTTGCGAAACATTTGACAGGCATTAATAGTTAGTTCTAAAGTGATTGAAAAGGGTTGTTAAATCATGATCACCAAAGAAGAAGTGGTTTAATTTCATCCGAAGAGTGTCTTCCATTTTTTTCGATTTTAAAATACAAATTTTATATTAAATGGGAACGGGTAGAACAAAGTTCTTTTTTTTTTGTAGAGGGACGATACTGTTAACACTGTGATTTATACAAATTTTATATTAAATGGGAACGGGTAGAACAAAGTTCTTTTTTTTTTGTAGAGGGACGATACTGTTAACACTGTGATATATAAAAATATTATATATATATACATATATATATATATATATATATTTTTATACATTTATGTATAAATAGTTAGTATAAAAGAGACGTAAAAAGAGAATACGAATATAAGAAAAAGTGTAGGCATTCGCGTGATTGCCCTTTAAAATGTACCTAAAGTTCTTCCAAACGTTTTTATTTTCTATCATCTATATGATTCTTTATTTTTTCTTTTTCATTAATTTTATATTTTAATCTTTATTCATTGCTGTTCTATCATTCAAAGTCTTAACTATTTCACTGCCCCTATCATTTATTTTCTTTTATTCATTATCTTCCAGTATTTTATTCTTGACCAATTTAATTTGCTTTTATTTAAGTTTTCTTGCACGTTTCGTTTTATCTCTTTTAATGTAAAAAAAAATTTTCGTTTCATCCCTTTTTTTTTTTCCTCTCACACTTTATTATTCCTTTTTCTTTTATTTTTCTTAAATTAATTTTTGATTATGGTAAGCAACGTGAGGTTTCCATTTAAGTAAACTAATTATTTAGATAATAATGCTTAGATATTTATTTATGTCCAACTATTCTTAGACCTGTTCGATATTACTCGTGTAACGTATGTTACCATTTTGTAATAAAAATACGAATGCTCATTTTTCATTTAATTTTCCCTTTAAATTTTTATTACAAAATGCAAAAGACTCGATGAAATGCAATCACATTTCATTTGTTTTCCTCTTTAGAAATCGTCATCAAAAACGAGTTAGTTTCACGAGTTTTCGACGGATCGACCAATCAAGGAGTAGTATTGTATGTTTTATTTGTGTTCAAAGGAAAACCGTATTAACACAAACGTGCATACATTATGTTTACTCGTTTAATTAAATACTCGTATAATAATTATCATCTCATCGTTATTATTTATTCGAACGTATATACTCTCTTTTCGAAAACTCGATCCTCGAATTCTCAAACGTTCGAAAGAATAGTAAAAAAAAAAAAAAAAGGAAAGCAGTGTTCGGTTAACTGCGTTAATTATGTATGTAGTTTGTATAAAATCTTCAAAGTTTTGGAATTTATTTATATATACATATATATATATATATGTATATAAATTACATATAAATATAATATTATATATATATATCAATATATGTAATATTATATATAAATATATATATATATATGTATATGAAAAAGATAAAAATGATGTTCAATTAAACGATTGTTACCTTAATTTTTAACTATGTAGTTCTTTTTTATTTTCTTCGCTTGTCATTTTATTTATTATTCAATTTCATTTTTTGTTTTTTTGATTCAGCGTAGATGTAATACACATACATGCATATATATATACCGATGCAACACAATCGATTTTTATTATTTTTATTAACTTTGACTCTTTTTACAGATTTGCAATGAATCTCGTTAAACAAGAAACGAGAAAGAGGAAACAGAAAATATTGCTTTTTCTCAGTTCTATGTACCAAACGATTCTTTACATTTTTTAATCATAATATTTCATACTTATTTATATCATTTTCCTTCCTCTTTTTCTTTTTTTTTTTTTCTTTTTAATTTCATTTCTCAAGTATGTTTCTTATCCTTAGTAAATGCAAGCCTCCTGCGTGCTTTACTTTCTGCGACTCCTACTTTTTATTCTTATCTTTTAAGTAAGTTTATTTTTTTTGTTACGTTCGTTTTGTTTATATATATA